CTGCTCCTTATAGTTGAACTGCACAAAAATAAACTTACGGTACTGATTTTGGTATTTGCGTGCTAATAAACCATACTGGTAACTCAGATTTGCGCAGCTATATAATTGTCGTTGTCCCTGACGTTGATTCAAATTACGAAATGTAGAAATATCTTCAAAAGTAATTGAATTACATTTCTAAGCATTTCTACTCTACTCAAGATACTTTACAGTGAAAGTAACTTGAGTAGTATTTTAAATACTTTATGAAGCAGGTATTTAGTAACTTAACTTAAATACTTTTATCGAGTATTTTATCTAACATTGGTTTCAGCTTAAGCTCAGACGCAACCGGTGCTTCAAGCGCGAGCATGTGGCCCTAAGTAGTGCCATAACCTCCTCTATACTAACAAAGCCTGGCAGAACGCCACGAGTCGCGGCCACCGAAATTGAAAAGGTAGAGCGGCAGACAACGGAGGAGAGAGCCAGGGTACGGGCGCCCCACGGCGGCGAGAAGCCGAAACACACTTCTCCCGAGCGATAAAATGTCCGCTCATGCTCCAGCGCTACCGCGTCTTTTCTCGTAGGGTTTCAAAACCATGTTTCGGGTCCTCGCCGCTGCAAAAGCTGTGCGCTGACGACTAGGTTCCCCGCAGAGATATACGGCTCTGGGTTCCCGGACATATGCTCTGTGCCTACCAGATCCTCTCGCTCCAAATCTACGACCGGGCACTCTATGACTTCGTCGTCGAACTGCCAGGCATTATGAGTATTTGCGACGTGAGCGATCGAAAGCGTCGCTGTGATCAACCTTCCACAATTGGCCGAATGCTAACTATGACGTCAGCAAAGGATTTCCCATTGACGGAAATAAGAGTAATGTTAGGACTTCAATTTCGACGGTGTTGGCAGTGTTGGTTTGAGAGTGCTATGATTTCAAGCTTCCACCATGCTCTTTACAAACACCATCAAACTTGTTGTTCACAGGGTAATGACGTCACGAGCGGTAACCACAGGAGGGCGCCACCAAAACATCGCGCCGCCAATAGAGGAGTCTATGACAGTGCTTGCACTGCACGAGCTTGGCAGTGACACTGAAAGCCAGGAGCCTCGCCCTTGAAGCATCGGCTGAAACACTCTTCAGAATTGCAAACGCTCTTCAGAATTTCAGTTGCGCCCCCCCCCCCCCCCCCCCCCCCCCCCGTTTTACTAGAGCCTCCCTACATCAGAGTAACGAGATTTACCTACTTTGTGGCTGAAAATCATGGTTGCCAGTGATCTGAAGCTTTATTTGAAATCACAGGAAACGCTTTTCCGTCCTTCACTACTGTCTAAACAGTTCGCGACAAGAATATTACATGACCTTCCTAACACCGAATCGAATGCTGAGGAAGTTGCACTTGTGAATCATGAAAATCGGCAGTTGCATCTGCTCTGCACAAGCACCAAGATGGCGGCGCCAAAAATAATATCGGGGAACAGGGTGCCTATGCCTATAATCAAACCGTAGCTCATTTAGTGGCTCTAGTCGCTGCTTTAAAGCGTTCTTCCGCAGAACGAGCGCTCGCGCTAGAAATGCATGTATCAAAGCCAGGAGCGCGGGCTAGCTCACACTTGTTAACTTTGACTCAACGAGGTAGAGGGGCTTAGAGTGATAAACTAATATCCCGTTCCCAGACAAAAGAACTAACCCCCCCCCCCCCCCCCCTTCCCATGGCTACCGCCATGTTGTACAATTTTGACCACTAAACATGTGACCGTACCAAATCTTGAGGCTTTTACGCAAAACTCAGCAGAGATTTGTATTGCCATCGCGGTAAAAAAACATCATAAACTATTTTTAACTACTGTTGTCCCCGGATATCAGTGTCTGGCTCCGATAAAACCCCAAAATACAGCCCCGCGGCTTACGGAATCTAGCGGAGCGATTGCGAAGCTCGTCATAAAAGCACATTTTGAACTTAAACGAAACATAACATATCTCGTCGGTACTGTTATTAAAGATCATTAAACAAATCTTTGTGCGCGGTACTTTCTGAAAATCGCGACGTGAAAACTATAAATCACGTGTCTATAGTTGTCAAAAATGTGCAACATGGCGGCGGCCGGGTAGGGGTCACGTTCAGCTGCCAGTTTATCGCTCTAAGCTCCTCTACCTCGTTCCTTCGACTTCAGATTCAGCTTATCGGTAAACGGAGCATAGTAAACGCGTTAGCGTTCTCTGCCAAGTAACAATTAAGACTAACTCCACGAGCGAGCCATACTGCCGAGAAGCGGTGTTGTTTTTTAGGAACTTATTCATGACGTCGCAACCTATATCCAACGAAGCTTCACAAACCGCCACCAGACGCAATTTTGAAATCTGTTCATTCGTTTGAAAAGTAGTTTTCTTGACTTCTCGGCCTGCAAGCCAAAAACACTAGTCTATAGGCTAGTCTTTTCGGGCGGCCAGCACAACTTATATATACCACATCTAAACAAAGAAATAAGTGCACAACATTTCGTTTTCGTACCCGTTTTCGTATACGTACAAGAGTGAACGGAGTATAGCCGGAATATCAGTGGCCACGAGTATATGCCACCGTTTCTCGGCCAGACTGATTGGTGTCGCTATGTGTCCAATTTTTAACTTTTTCAAGATGGCCGCCGTGGGGGCCTCATCTAGAGTGTACCAGAAGGACCAAGTGGGGTGACCGGAGTGCTAGTTAGGTACCTCCGCGAGTGGAAAAAACCGGCTAATCCAAGTCACTTCGCTCGTAGCGCCCTCTCGGGCCCTACGTGCGAAGCGGTTCGGATTAGCTGGTTTTTATGAAAAACGCGTTGCCTTTCAACGCCAAGATCGTTCTAAAGCGGCGGCGCCGAAAAAAACGCTTCGGTCGTCTCACTCAGTCCTTTCTAGTACACTCTACGAAGGTGGCGCTGCGATCGAAATGGCTTGGGTCTACCTAGTGCCACTACATAAGATACGCTTCAGAGTAACGTCACTTGGCCATATTGTGTCTTAAAATCATGGTTGCCAGTTATCTGAAGCTTTATCTGAAATCACAGGAAGCGCTTTTCCGCCCTCCACAAATGTTCAAAAAGTTCGCGGCAGAGCAAAGCAATGTTACATAACCTTTCTAACACCGAACCGAATGCCGAGGAAGTCGCAATTTCGAATCATGACGATCGGCAGTTGCGTCTGCTCTGCATACGAGCCAAAATGGCGGCGCCCACAACAATGTCGGGGAACGGAGTGCCGATACTCTAAGCGTAGCTCATTTAGTGGCTCTAGGTCTACCTGATCGCTTTCCATATTTTGAGGTGCAACTGAAAGCATAAGCGGAGCCTGTAGTTCGTCCCACTCGTTCCTTCTAGTACACTCTGCCTCAGCCTTCAACCAAACTGCGTCATATTTTCACATGTCAACCATCACACGAAAACTGTCTGTTACCCCCACTCAGACGTTGCCCTAAAACTCCGTTTCAATAAATATTATTTCCGTATAAAGGATATTTTCATAAAGGGGCTGCTGTCAAGCGACCGACGAAATGCTATTTGCTCCGGATATTGATCGCTTTGGCCATTGCCGCATGGATTTGAAGCCAAGACTATAATTAGTATTCAAATTTGAATGATTGCTTAAAACATTATAAGTTAATAACACCTATTTTATGGACCCTTTTGTAAACGGAAATAATAGTGAGTTTTAGTAGATCGTGTTTTCAGGCCACGATAATCGTAGCGGGAGCTCGAGCTGCCACTTCGATGCGTGCGTGCTCTGAAGCGCGCGCTCGTGGCGGAAGCGGGCCTTTGAAAACGATCTACTAAAACTCCCTAATTTGCATCATAAAACGATGAGCACACACAAAAAGCGTTCGTGTCATCGCCAGACACTGGCAGCCACGAGAGTATGCTAAATTGAGTGTGTGCTAAACTGTTGCCTGCTTACCGAAACCTAGAAATAATAAAAATTGTCTATATTTTCATGGTAAAAGTCTGCTTTAGTTTCACCAGGGTTTAATGCTTTATACCGGCAATGTCTGAAAGAACAGTGAATGCGCAGGCGGGTTGGTGAATCTAGTGGTGAATCTAAACATGAGACGCGCGAGGAGGAAGCAGACACAGATTGTCTCTGAAATAGTTAATTGTTTCTTATTGTCAACGAAAGTCTTTCATTGGTACAAAGTCATCAGCCAACGCCTGAAAAACCATGCCGAGGTCAGTCTTTCCAAGTTCTAACTTCAGGCAGACAAAAAGTTCTGTCGAGAGTACTGTTGAGAGTACTTCCTTCGTATCTAAAGGACGTTAGAGAGCTCCCTTCATGAAAAGGACGCTTTAGGTGAAGGAGCATTCACGGTGCCGTGTGGCATGAAGTCCGTCTCGTTTTAGGAGATTGTCCTTTACTACTACTACGCGCACTTTCAGGCGGTCCGTCTGACCGTGCGTCTGGCAGGCGTATTTTAAGGGTATTCACAACTTTCGCAACCTATACGGGGTCGCAATGGCGCCTATCAAGATGGCTGTCATCTGAATGATCGTCTTAGAACAGCAGTATACGAGGCTGGGTCAGCGACGCGTAAATAAGTATAGCCTTGCTAAATACGGGCAGTATTAGAGCCTTCATTTTTTCACGTCAGAAAGGTGAAGGCCAATCATCCAGGAGATAGGGTGTACGATTCTCACACCGCGGTACCACCATCGCTGAAGGTTGCGAATATAATTGAACCTAATAGACCGATCTCACTAAGCGTTCGGCGCATGCGTGACGCCGCCATAACTTTAGTTCACAGGAGGCAGACAGTTGTGCATGCGAGGGCTCGTGCCGTCTCATGCTCCACATGTGCAGATCTCCAGCCAGGTTGTTGCACGTGCAGAAAGAAAAAAGTTCCCTCGATGCATTGCGGCAGCGGTGGCGTAGTCAGGATTCCCAAGTCTATAGAGCTCGAGCTTTCGCTTCACGTGCTCCTAACGATTTCTCACGCAATAAACAGCTCCAGATCAAGAAAACAGGAGGAAGAGAAAGTCGTTATCGGTGGACCATGGGTAACAAGAAGAGTAAACTGAATCCCCAGGTGCTTCGAGACCTCTGGGCAAGTACAGAGTTCCAGCACGTCGAGATCATCCAGTGGTACCGTGATTTCATGCGAGAGTTCCCGGACGGGCGCATAACAATGGACCTCTTCAAGAAGACCTACGCTAAGTTCTTTACCGCGGGCGTAGACTCGGACGAGTTCGCCGAGAGCTTGTTCCGCACGTTGGACGTCAATAAGGACGGCTTCATCGATTTCCGAGAGTTTATGCGTGGGCTAAACGCCACGTCTCGTGGCAAGCCCGACCAGAAGCTCACCTGGGCCTTCAATGTTTACGATCTGGACGGGGATGGATTTATAGACAAAGACGAAATGCTCCAGATGATTACGAACGTCTTAAAGATGTCTGCGTCTTCTAAACCGACTCCGTCGAAGGACAACCTAGACCCGAAGAAACTGGTGGAGCAGATATTTGCCGCTATGGACACGAACGGAGACGGCAAGATCACATTGCAAGAGTTTCTGGAAGGTATAAAGAAGGATCCGACTTGCGTCAACCTCCTACTATCTGACATAAAACCGACTTCATAACGAGTGTCCCCAACGTCCATTAAGTAGTATATGGCACTGAGATGGACTGTGAAGCCCGTCTCAGGCGCACGTTTTTCTCAGCGCGGTTCGAAAAATACCAGCAACATATTATGTATCATTTGAAGGTGAACATTTGAGAGAAGTCTCTCTGGTTGGGGAGCAACAATAATAATAAATAGAATATACACCAACCAAATCCTTGTATAAAGGCAAAACCCTACGTTTCGAGACCAGCTCGGTCTCTTCTTCAGGGGTTGAGTGCGGCTATGGCCATTGAGGAGCAGTAATCTGTTTTCTTCTTCTTCTACGGCAGTGTCTATCGTTTTGCATCGGTGAGGTGGCGAAGTCCGTTCACGTAGCCGGTCGGCAGAGTGCCGAGGGATCTATTTATGTTTTCTGGCGTTGTTTGTATGTGCCAAGATTCAATAAAAAGTCTATGTCTGGGATTGGTTTCAACAGCCAGGATGCTGGTGTTGGCAAAGTCAACTTTGTGGTCCTTGACGTCGCAGTGCTCAGCTACGGCGCTTCGTTCATGGTCGAACTTTCGAACATCGTTCATATGCTGGCGGATACTGGACGCTATCTCCATTTCCATTCCAATCACCCAGCCTGTCACAAGGCATCAGTGGTCAAACACTCTTATCTAGGTCAAAAAATATCTGCTCATTCGAGGCTGACCGTAAAAAAGAGGAAAACACCATCTTCGCCGACCTACAACATAACGGTTATACAAGCAGCTTCATCCGCCGCATTGCGCGTGATCAAGCCCGAGATCGCCGACACCTGCAACTCCCAGCAAGTACACAGACCCGTCGTATCTCACGCATCAGCGTTCCTTACATAAAAGGTACAAGCGAGGCGCTGGCACGTGTACTGGCCAAAGAAGGGATCCAGGTAGCCCACAAGCCGATGTCTACGCTTGGAAGACTCATGCCCCGTCCAAAGGATCGCCCGCCTAAGGAAAAAGCACAAGGCGTCGTTTATAAAATTCCATGCGCGGACTGCCCGGTCACATACATCGGGGAAACGAAGAACTTCCGGGAGAGAATCCGCCAGCATATGAACGATGTTCGAAAGTTCGACCATGAACGAAGCGCCGTAGCTGAGCACTGCGACGTCAAGGACCACAAAGTTGACTTTGCCAACACCAGCATCCTGGCTGTTGAAACCAATCCCAGACATAGACTTTTTATTGAATCTTGGCACATACAAACGATGCCAGAAAACATAAATAGATCCCTCGGCACTCTGCCGACCGGCTACGTGAACGGACTTCGCCACCTCACCGATGCAAAACGATAGACACTGCCGTAGAAGAAGAAGAAAACAGATTACTGCTCCTCAACGGCCATAGCCGCAGTCAACCCCTGAAGAAGAGACCGAGCTGGTCTCGAAACGTAGGGTTTTGCCTTTATACAAGGATTTGGTTGGTGTATATTCTATTTATTATTATTATGTATCATTACTGACTCTACAAAAAAAATATGCATAAATTGTGTGTGTACTCTATTACACCGGTAAAGTTTTGCCTTTAAAAACACAACTTAATTATAGTGTCATTTGCTTTTCGGAATATCTTTCGTACAATATACGGGCTTTTAATGCGGAAGTATTAACTGTCTCATTGAGCGACGCCGGTGTAGCCGGCGAAAACAGCAACTGAATTCCAATTACCTGGAAGTTGTCTGTAGCAGCAAGACGGCACCTAAATTATGAAATTGCTAAAAATTTCTCAAGGAGGTTCATGCAGACAAAGTAAATTAATGGCTTTGAAAAGAAAATTTCGTACATTTCGATCTGGGTGGGAATCGAATCCGGGCGGTGGTAGGAGACGAGCATGCACGCTACCCCGACGCCACGGCTGCTCCACGATTCCGGCTGACTAAACCTATTTCACAAGGACGCCGCCATCTCGAAGTATCGGCCCTTCCAGTATGGGTGAAATCATTGCTTTGCCATCACCACGCCGATAGAATACATTTACGATATAAGCGTAACCGTGACACATTCTCGGTTTGTCTCCCCTTTACTTTTTTTTACAATTTGCAGGTTGAAATGCATTACTATTTTTTCGTCGCTTATACCGGATATGCCTAACAAGTGGCTGGGGACAAGAGTAAGCGAAAAAGGTCTATACCCCATGTCGCTAGTTGCGTGCAGTACAGGCGAAGGCAACGCCAGGCGTGTAGAGGAAGGGAGAGCAGTAGGAGGGCTGGGGAGGAAGAGAAAACCCTCCTTTCTTTTCTAACGTTTAGAATGCTTTTCCTTTCTCCCCCGTGCTCCAGAGCCGCGCTCCCTTGCCCTCCTCTACCATTCCGCGTTAAAAATAATTGGGGTTGTGTGGATATTTGTACAGCGTGCAGTTGGTCAGCCATTTCAAAGTTGCGACGAGTTACTCGCTGTAGGTGAGAAATTTAGCCAGTGCGGTGCAACCTATAGCCTGGGGTCTTTAACGTGCACCACGCAGTAGTGATACACTACCGCACGCCGGGACGATGCTCATCCAGATAGAAACGGGCAGGGGTGGGGGATTGAACCCAGGATCCCCATGGGTTCTGCAGCGCGAGCTTTTCATTCCGCGTTGCTAGTGCTCGCCCTCTCTTTCTTCGCCTGGCGTTGCCTTCGCCTGCACTGCACACAACTAAAGCTTTTTTTTTTTTTCTTTATTGACTGCACAGAACTAAAGCCCCTCGACGTGTTTGCGTTTGTCTTGCAAGTAGCGTCAAATACGCCAGTGCACGAGGCCCGTGTCTCCAGCTGCCCTTGGAAGCAGATGATGGCGCAGCATTGAAATGAGCGGCCCTTCGAAGCGAATGGCGGTGGAGCACCCGCTCGTGGCACGTGTCTTGCACGCTTCCACAATAATGGTTGGTGGTACTTGTATATAGAAAGGCCTTTATCAAGGGGCTTTACATACAACTACGTGCGCGCGTCATGCTTTCGAATTTTTTTATCCTCCGCTGCAAAAGTAAATAAATTTCAAACAGAGCCCAACTGCAAATATTGCATCCATATGAAACGGAAGCATCGTGCAAAAAGAGACATAAAACTTGAGACTGCCGTCTCAGTGAAATAGCTCGATGCTAAGAAAGACAAGATTTATGGTGTTGAGAAAAGCTCACTTCTTCGACGACTTGTATAACACTATTGACCTTGCTGAACACAACCGGGAAATAGTCAACGCCCTCGACTCCGACGGTACCATGCCTAATGTGACGTAAAGTGGAGAGTTGAGCTAGTTGGTACGATGACATCATATTAAAGGGACCATGATATTGATCTTTGGCTAGTATAAATTGGGATTTTAGTAATCGCATATCGTTTAGTGCAAAAAAAAAAAAACTAGTGCACGAGCGTAGAAAGCCTGCTTTTGGACACTAAAATCTGAAAGTATAGCGGGCTAATTCGTACCTCCTTTCCTTCGAAAGCCCTCCGCCTTTTTATTGTGGTGCATCGCTGGGTTGAAATGAGAAGGCAAAAACGAGAAGGTAAGAAATGCGAACGGGTTCAAATGAGAACCACCCAACCCAGCTCTTGCATTGGACACGAACATTGCTCCGATAAAAAATGCTGGACTCCCTTTGCGTTTTTCTCTTTGAACACGACAGCGAGCCTTTGCCGGCCGTGGTGAGTCGGAAAAGGGGAAGCGATTATCGATATGAATGGCACACTTTCCGTCCGCGTGACCCGTGCGTTTCGCTGCATCCGGCAGTCGGGCCGGTTAGGGCCGGTCGCCCCACCGCGACGTCCGACTGCACTAGAAACTGCACGCAAGCCTTGCCGATTGACTTCCTCTTCATTTGGCTCGATAACGTGATTATACTCTGTTTCACATTGTGTTGTACCGCAGGAAAGGCTACAAGCACGAGCCCCTTGCTCTATGGCACATCTCGGCGGCACAAGCTCTCGTGCACCAAGGGCAGCTGCCAATGTTATGAGAATGGGAAGGAGCTGAGCTAGTTGGTTGTACATACTTACATTGTGGAAACCAGCTGAACTTACAGAAAAGGGTGAGGAGAGAAAGGAGAATCCAGCGAACGGATGCCTTCTCTCCTTTCTCTCCTCACCCTTTTCTGTAAGTTCAGCTGGTTTCCACAATCTAACAATGTTATGAGCTCGCGCTTCTAGCCTTCGCTGCGGTACAACATAAGGTGAAACGAAGTATAGTAGCATCAACTTTCTCCGGCTGGCCTCAGCCACGGCGCCAGGAAGCATACCCCTTAAATGGGAGGGGCAACGATTTTCGAACTTCGGACGGGTAATTGCGTTAGTTGGTGTCGGTCATTTTTGGGTGCAAGAACAGAAAACCATTTCTGCTTTAGTGCGCTAGTTATAGTCTTTAAAAGGACCGAGGTACACCTAAGCATTCCTTATGAGTTGTGAATGCGAAAGCATTCAAGCCGCTCCCTTTTTCGTCTGCTGCGTACTTTTCGTGCGCGTGTTCCGCGATGATGGACACACAGCGCCATGGGGTGAATGGGCGTGGAAACTGACGAGCGCAGCGGCCAGTGGGAGCCCCGTCGACGCGCGCCAGCCAATGGAACCGAAGGAAGCTATCTGCCGTTTTCGCGCTTCAGACTGATGACGTCAGCTCGCTCCATGGGACAATTAATGCTTCCCTCCAGCTCTTCTCCTGGGATTCTGAACACGTGTCAACCGTGTTCTCGACCAACGCGGCGTCATGGCGTGTTGGTCTCTGACACCACGCACCCCTGAGGTGTTCCTCGCGGCGTAGCATTGATAGAGAATATTTTGGTTTGCGAACACGGGACTCTGTTTCAGGCACAACAAAGCACCGCACCCGGTAGGCATCGCCCGGCCGGTGATCGCGGTGGACGATAGAATAGTACGTTGAGAAACACGCGAAAACTGAAGTTCAGACTCTCTCTGCTCCTCGAACAAGCCAAACTGCTAGACATTAGTCGAGTCGTTGCTGAAGCTCTTTACTCTATGCACAAATGTTTACACCAGGGCCCATTTGCTCGAAGCGCTAACCGCGG